AGACCACCCCCTGCGTACCCCCTATGGTGTCCAGAAAGTGCCACGCCTGCTAGGTTTTGCGACAATGTCGTGGATAGCGGCCGCGCTGAGAGACCACCCCCTGCTTACCCCTTATGGTGTCCAGAAAGTACAGCGCTTGCTAGGCTTTGCGACAGTGTCGTGGATAGCGGCCGCGCTGGGAAACCACCCCCTGCGCACCCCCTATGGTGTCCAGAAGGTGCCACGCCTTCCAGGCTTTGCGGCAGTGTCGTGGATAGCGGCCGCGCTGATGGACCACACCTTTGCGCACCCCCCATGGTGTCCAAAAAGTGCCACGCCTGCTAGGCTTTGCGACAGTGTCGTGAATAGCGGCCGCGCTGAGAGACCATCCCCTGCGCAAGCCTTATGGTGTCCAGAAAGTGCCACGCCTGCTAGGCTTTGCGACAGTGTCGTGGATAGCGGCCGCGCTGAGAGACCTCACCCTGCTTACCCCTTATGGTGTCCAGAAAGTACAGCGTTTGCTAGGCTTTGCGACAGTGTCGTGGATAGCGGCCGCGCTGAGAGACCACCCCCTGCGCACCCCCTGTGGTGTCCAGAGGTGCTGTGCTGTGCTGTGCTGTGCAGTGCTGTGCTGTACTGAGCTGTGCTGAGCTGTGCTGTGCTGAGGTGCTGTGCTGTGCTGTGCTGTGCAGTGCTGTGCTGAGCTGTTCTGTGCTGAGATGCGCTGTGCTGTGCTGTGCTGTGCTGTGCTGAGCTGAGCTGAGCTGTGCTGAGCAGTGCTGTGCTTTGCTGTTGCGTGTGGGTGAAGAGAGGAAGAGGGAGGAGGGGAAGAGGGAGGTGAGTGAGCCTCGCGGGAGCGACGCGGCAGGGAAGAAAACCAGAACCCCACGAAACATGTGGGGAAATATGATCCTTTGCTCCTCCTCATCATCGTGCCACCCCCTGGGCTCGTGTAGTACTTTCTGAAGAAGGGCATGCCGAAGATCCACAGGGGGCCTGTCGGCTGCGAGCGCCGTCAGCGGAAAGCGCCGTCGTCTTTCGTAGAGGAGAGAGACGGAAGAAGAAGAATGGGAGGAGGAGGAGGAGGAGGAGTGGTAGGATTCGGTAGCAACTCATGGGAGCCTCCCATACCATCTTGTCGGCTCTTGCGAATCGACGCTAATCGACGCTAGTGGACGCTAAATCGACGCTAGACCGACGCAAATCGACGCTAACCGACGCTAAATCAGCGCTATCTCATCGACTCCCAGACTCTAATCAACGCTAATCGACGCTAAAGACGGAATTAAGATGGTTTACCAGGCTCGCATGAGTTGCTACCGAAATAGGAGGACGGAAAGAGAGAGAGAGAGAGAATAAAAAAAAGACATGACAGAGGCAAGCTAAGTGCGCTCGCGCCATATCTTACATCATCCCCCTCCCCCCATCCCTTCCCACAGCGCTGATGCTTCTCTAACCGCAAACAAGTGTCCTACCGGACCTGGATCCCCAAAACGGCTCCTTCGTGTGATTAGCATACAGGAAGGGGAGCTGCGTACGTCGGACGAGGTGGCGGATGAGCAGGAGGATGAGCAGGAGAAGGAGGAACATGACGAAGGAGGAGTTGGAGGAGCTAAAGCCGCAGCAGGAACAGGAGTAGGGAAAAGCGGGGAATCACGAGGACCAGAAGGCGGAGGAGGGGAAAGGAGGGGGCGACAATGACGAGGAAGGCATCGGATCCAGAAATGTGGCCCGCGCGTCGGCGAGAGCGTCACTTCGAGCGACGCGGGCACAGCGCCGATCCTGAAGTGTGGCCAACGCTGCAGAGGGAACCGGACTCTGCAAGGCCGAGATCGTTCTGACTGACACACACACACATAGCAAAAGCAAATTCATGACGATCCTGTGAAAGGGCGGGTGAATACCCAACCCGCCCTTTGGGCGAAGGTGGTGTGGGAAGCTGATTTCCCGAAGAGTACTTACACTTAGGCGCTCTTCCCTATATCACCAAGGAATTGGACGGGTCCAGCGAGGTTTCGCCACGTTGCCGCCCGTGGCCCCTCGTGGCCACCTCGTGCGCAGGGTGGGTCCATCAAAGTTTTGCCAGGGTGCCGCCTCGTGGCCGCCTCGTGGCCGCCTCGTGACCTGGGTAGGTCCAGCGAGGATTCGCCACGTTGCCGCCCGTGGCCGCCTCGCGGCGACCCCGTGCGCTCGATGGGGCTGGCGAGAGTTTGTTTTCGCGTAGTTCCCCAAACTGCGACTGGACTTAGGAATTCGCACTTGGTCTTCTGACGGAACTGGTTGAATATGCTGGGTTTTCGCCACGTCGCCGCCCGTGCTGTCTCGTGGGCGCCCCGTGCTTGGGGGGCTACGATGGGTTTTCGCCACGCTGCCGCCCGTGACGCCTCGTGGGCGCATCGTTGGCACCCCGCGCTTGGGGGATACGATGGCTTTTCGCCGCGATGCAGCCCGTGCAGCCTCGTTTGCACCTCGTGGGCGCCCCGCGTGTGAAGGGCATGTTGGATTTTCGCAACGAGGCCGCCTTGTGGGCGCCTTTTGGGCGCCCCAGGTGTGGGGGGTATGCCGCCCGTGCCGCCTCGCGGGTGCCTCGTGGGGGCCCCGTGATCTGAAATGGCACAACGTAACTTCGTACGCTACATGGCTTACACCAACGCATAGCGTACACAACACAAGTTCCACCACATGGAATACACCGCATGGGTTACGCCGCGTAGATTCCACTTCAACATTGCAAGAACACACACTTTGGGATCCACGATGGATTACATTATAAGAATATTTTGCTTCCACTGAAGGAAGAGGCTGCCCAATGTTCCCGATTATAAGACACCCCCTCCCCCACCCGACCGGGGGCGAACCCGGAACCATGACAACATGCCCTCATCCTCGTCAAAAGAAAATGTAAAACAAGTGGCACGCGTGCCTTGGCTCTTGCACCAAGGAGCTGCGAGGGACGGGAGCCTTTCGCCTCCTTCCCCCAGGAGTTTCCTTCTGTGGCCAAGGGGGGAGACGAACGACGAACGAACGAGCGACGACGAGCGAAAATAAAGAGGTCCGAACTCTAGAACACAGCTGCGCGAATAAACGTTGCGGCAAAAAACGGATCACGCGCGGGCGCCGCGCGATCATTCAGCAGTGCGTCTTGACAGGGAAGAAGGGGGTGAGGCTGGCATAATGCCTGCTCCGCGCAGGCCCATCACCCTTGTCACCGAAACTATACGGAATACCGCTCGCGGCAGGGCTTCGATCATGCGCGGGCGTTCCGCGATCAGTTTGCATGGACAGTTTGCGGCGCATCTCGCGGGCGTCGCGCGCCTGGCCGGCGTCTGCTCTGGTTCCCGATCATTGTCGATGGCGGTCCCTGCCCAGGCTGAGGATCGGGTGCTACTTGTTTTGTGGGATGACGGGTGGAAAGCTCAGGGGGCTCCGCCGAAGCCATGGTAAGGAAGGAGTGTTCCGTTAAGCGGATAAGGAAGATATGTGTGGTAGGGAGGAGGCCAGCCGGCCGACGACACGACGACGATGGGGAAACGACCCCACGCGCGCGCAAGCCAGCTCGCTCCTTTTCCCTATACCTCTCGATTCTCAGTGGCTGCGGCCGTCCTTCGGAGGGATAGATTGACCTCTCCCTCTTACCGCTCTCCCCAGGTCTGGGAGGGCCCGGTCGCGCGTCGTTCGAGCGACCAGCATGGCTCAAGGTGGCCCCAAGAGGGCCCCGAGATGGCTCAAGATAGCTTCCAACATGCCTCCAAGAGGCGCCATGATCGTCCCAAGAAGGCTCCAAAACGATGTCTTGACGACACCCCCGAGAAGCCAACATCTGTCATGGCTCCAAGATGGCCCAAGTGAGCCTAAGAGGGGCCCAAGAGGGGCCCAAAACGGCCCCGAGAACGCCCAAGAGCGCCCCGAGAGCGCCCCGAGAGGGCCCCAAGAAGAGATCTCGTGGGCCCCGACAGGAGGACTGTCAGTAAGAACCCCCCCTTCTGTGATCGATGGCCCCCAAGATGGCCCCAAGAGGGCCCCCAACGCCCCTGTCACAGTTGCTGGAGACAGAGTGCCTTTCCCAGATGCCCTCCGCCGACGGCGGAGAAAGTCGTAGACGAGTATTAAGAAAGCGACCGAGATCCACGATCGCGTCTCCAGGCTGGCGCCCCCAAAGGCCCGCCCCAAAGAGGGCCCAAAGAATGCCCCGAGAAGCCCTCAGAGAGCTCCAAAGGCCTCCGGAATGGGCTCCCAAGGCCCCGAGAGGGCCCCAATAGGGGCCCACGATAGCCCCAAGATGCCTCCAAGAGGCTCCCAGAGCGCGACTACATGCTGCTACACATCCCGGATGAGGCAACTCGCCTGGTGATTGCTTTTTGATGGGCTGGTGGGGATGCACGAAGCGTCAAGAAGAAAGACAGCATCAGGGGGGAGAGAGGCAGTATCCAGATTGAGTAGACGTAGAGAGGAGGAAGAGGACGACGAGGAGAGAGGAGAAGGAGCAGCAGCAGCAGTACCAGGGAGCAGTGGGCAGGGAGACGAGGGAGCCTCAGGAAGCCCAGAACACAGACAAACGAACGAACAAACGAGCGAACATAATCCTCGGCATTCCTCCCTCCTCCCCAATCCCCTCTCCTCCTTGGCGCCTTGCTTGGAGTCCATGTAGGACTCCATCAGCAGCACCTTGCACGTCTCCCCCGTCTGGCGGTTGCCGCCTGCGAGCGCGCCTCGTCCGCGCCATCGTCCCACCAGAAGCGAGGGCCCGCGAGGGCAGGCGAGGGGGAGGGAGATGGCGGAGAGGTGAGGACGAGCACGCCAAGGTGGGCAGGGCGCCGTCGGCTCGAAAGCAGACTCTCCCGGCGCGGCCGGAGGCCGAGGAGGAGAAGGAGAGGGGGGGGGAGGGAGGGAGGGGGAGGGAGAGGGGGAGGAAGGAGGAGGAGAGGAGAGGGGGAGGAGGGGGAGGGAGGAGAGGGGAAGGAGGGGAGGAAGGAGGAGGAGAAGGGGGATAGGAGGGGGTGAAGGAGAGGAGAGGGGAGGCCGGCGCCCCCCCCCAGCTCACTCAGGAGGAAGAGGAAGAGAGGAGCGAGGACGGAGGAGGGGAGGAGGAGGAGCGCGGAGGAGCGAGGAGGAGCGAGGAGGAGGGAGGAGGAAGGAGGAGGAGGAGGAGGAGCGAGGGAGGAGAGAGGAGAGAGGAGGCGGAGCCGCGAGCCCGTGAAGCGGCGCGCCGAGCCGGGGACGAAAGGGGCGCGAGCGCGGCAGGAGAACAAAGGACGGCAGGCGCCGTCCAGCATGGAGCGCCGACGCACAAAAGCGGGGCCCCCGGGGCACCGCGAGCCCCGCCGAGGCGCGAAGGAGGAGGAGGAGGAGGAGGAGGAGGAGGAGGAGGAGGAGGAGGAGGAGGAGGAGAAGGAGGAAGAAGGTAGGAGGAGGGAGGGGGAGGAGGGGGAGAACGGGGAGGACGGGGAGGAGGGGGAGGAGGAGAGAGGTAGAGGAGGAGGAGCCGCAGGCCATGAGGAGGAGGAGGAGGAGGGCGAGAAGGGAGGAAGGAGGGAGGAGGATACCGGACGCGATGGAGGAGTGAGGAGTTGACGGTGAGGAGCGAGGAGGAGGAGGAGCAGGAGGAGGAGGAGCCCACCGCGGCGCGCAGGTCGGCCGGAGCGGACCGCCCCCCGGGGATGGCAGGCCGGGGGCGGGGCCCGCGCCGCGAGGGGCCTGGGGCGCCTGGGGCGCCTCGGGGCCGCGGCCCCCCCTCGGCGAAGCGAAGCGAGGCGAGGCGAGCGTCAGGTCGGGCACGCCCTCCTACAGTTGGGTCGGGCCTGTCCCCCTGCAGGGGGAGTTTGGACTGGACAAAAAATACAAAATGGTCAAAAAATGCTCCGAAGATGCCGAATCATACTAAGAAAATAGTCCCCTGACCATTTTTGGACTATTTCTGAATATTCCCCCTGCAGAGGGACAGGCCCGACTTAATCCTACAGGCGGAAGTTTGAGAGAAGAATGAGAAATGGTCAACCACTCCAGAGTCCTCCTCCTGTGGAGGGACATGCCCGACTGACGGCGAGCGCCAGCGTCGCGCGCGCGCGCGAGCGCGCGCTCCGCGGGGGAGCCCGCCTATACGCCTCCTCCACGGGCACGGGCGGGCTATCCCCTCTCGAGCCTATCCCCTCTCGAGCCTATCCCGCGCGAACAACTTCGTGCCCTCGAGGGCGCCCTTGTCGAAGCCTTATCCCTTCTCGAGCCTATCTCCCCCCCCGTGGCTACCTGTCAGGCCACCCCAACCCAACCCGAAGGCCCGAATTTCGGGTTGGGGGGGGTACGGGCTTCATGCATGTTTTTGTCAGTGCTCCCCGACCCCCCCCCCCCCCTGGAGATGGAGGGCAAATCGGGGCCTTCGGATTGGGCTGGGGTGGTTTGGTGGGCGGTGAGGCATGGCGTGGAGGCCTCGGTCTCGAAAGTGTGAGGTCTTGGAGCTGGGCGTCGCGTGATGGGGGGCTGCTAAATGAGGGGGCCAGCGAGGGCCGCAGAAAAGGGGCCCTTCAGGGCTCCTCAAGGAGCCCGTTAGGGCCCAGGAGGGGGCCTCAGGCCTCAGACTGGGTCTCCTCATTTTCCCGACGGGGCCGTCGGGAAAATGAGGAGACCCAGTCTGAGACTTGACGCGAGCTCCCGCTGCAAACATCCCACGAGAACGGAACCGCTAAAATCCAGAACGGGCTCGTCAACAAGCGTCGGCAGATCCGAGACGACGACGACGACGACGACGACGACGACGACGACGACGACGACGACGACGACGACACATCGCACACGCGGCAGCAGAGCAGCCGATGAGCGGTCAGCGCCAGCGCATAACCAGCCTCGAGCTGCTTGAAGGGGCCCAGGGGCACACGGATGAGTGGGCACATTAGTCCCGGGATGCCCCACAGGTTTCCCATATTTCCTGGATGGTAGTCTCCTCATCCACTTCCCGTATTCTCCATACTTCCCAAGGAACCGACGATTGTTTATGTGCGTGCGCTTTTTCCCCATCCCTGAGACTGAGAAGCTAAACGGCGATGACTATCTCAGGGGTGCGCCCTGAGAGGCCGAGGAGACCTTTGAGATCGGCATCGAGACTGGGTGATGTCAATCATGGGGGTAGGGACAGGTTCCAGGCTGGTAAGGTCAGACGCTTCTGACGAAGAACGGCAGAACATTCGGGAAGCAGAAAGTTGCATAAGCATAACCGGTCGGAGGTGTGCGCGGATTGCTCGGATCGGCGCTGGAACACCTTGGCGGCTGGCGCGCTCCGCGCGCCAGGGAAGGGGGGTCCAGCGCCTCTCCGAGAGATCCGCGCAGACCTCCGACGGAGTATGTTCATGCCGTGGCTGGCTCCTCGAAACGTAACTGCCCTGGAGCGCAGAAGGACGTGCTCGTACTATGCACCCCCCTCGGGAGGCGCACGCCAGAACCGAGCATGCAGCACCAACTCCTTTTCCGCCGGCGGCGAGGCAAGGGTCGTCTGCGCTGGCGGAGAGAGCTAGAACGGGGAAACCGCTGAAG